GCAACAATGAATGAAAGGAATTCCAAAATCTCTGTAGACGTTCATTGAAATGAAAAACAAACAACCTAAATTTAAAAAAAAGGAAGTTCTAGCAAATTACTTCCCCCAAAAGAGTCATTGATGATAAACCTTGGGAGCACAATGTGACTCTGACATGTAAGGGGTTACTGAGGGTCAGCATTGACGCCAAGGCAGCTATTAATATTATCCAATGTTTTAGAAGAACATTTTGAATAGTTTATATGAATTAACAGTGTTTCATGTACCAATATAAGCACTTTGCATATATTTACATGCATTTCCTCATTAACTTCTCAATCAAGTAATTGAAACAGACACTTTAGGGAGGAAGGATAGAGGGTTAGAACAAATCCTTGCACTCAAACCCACACTGTTAGCCTCTGTTTTCTCTCCTACCTTGAAAAAAGTTCCTAGCTAAGGGGAAGGGAGTCCAGTGGATTTGGTGTTTCATGAGAAACTATTTCAAGGTGCAAGTGTTACAATAGAGCAGACTCTGAGGAAGAAATGGACTTGCTCTTTTGGTGGTAGACATTTTTAGCCCTAGAGAGCTCTGGTAGCCTAGTGGTAAGAAACTGTGTTGTAATCCCATATGTAAGCAGTTCAAATCCAGGAGCTGCTCCACAGGAGGAGGATAGACAATCTCTTCCCATTATGATACTTCTGAAAATCTACTGGAGGGCCAGCTATGGGTAGATCCTGACTTGCTATCACAGTTTACATTTTGTTGTTGTTAATTGGGAATAGCAATAATTAAAGTTAGGCCAATAATAACAAACCCAAAGATGCAGCTTTCGGATAGAAGCCTGAGAATTCCAGTCACTGAATTCAGGTGGCCCAAGGGAGAGCCCTACAGGACCTCAACAGCTTCCAGGTGCTAGCTGGTTCAACAAACTCCTCCTCCTTCCCCCCACACAGTCTCAACGTCCATTTTCAGGAAAACAGGTCAAGCTGCACCAGCCAGACAACATCTAAGAGCTCTCCACATGAAATCAGAATACTGGTCAGTCAGCAGTAGGCCAGATCTGGGCAACTCCTCAGGGTTCTTACCACCATGATGTGCTCCGTGATGAAGACAAGGATGTGCTTAGGGTCAGCTGTGAACATCCCACTGTGTAGCTTCTCCACCAGTTTCTGGGTGAAGTAAGAGATGTTGGCAAAGGGTGGAGAAGCAGCAGCTTCTATGTTAAGCTGAGGCTTTTTACTGCCTAGGATACAGAGAAGACCAAGTATGAGAAATCATCCCTCTAACTAACAAGATTGCTCTTAAACACAAAGACTTGTTACATAATGTAAGCCTGTTGACGACATTATTTAAAAGAACAGACCTGATCAGCGATGTCAACAAGAAGGGAAACGATAAGTTGGGGAAAACATCCCTTCCCTTGGTCATCTTGGAAGGAGAGTGGGGATAAGTTAAAGGCAAATGTAAATGAGAACCCTATGTGGAGTCCAGGACCTTTCACTGGGCAGGGAATAAAGCTGTGGCTTCCCAATGTCAGTCAACATGATAGCCCTGTGCTCCAAGGTCTGTGCAACCATCATGTCAATCCTGACAAAAATTCTATGACCCAGACTCAACTGCTATGCTCTTTCTGAAGGACCAGTCCAGAAGGAACTACGCCTGCTGGGTAAAAAGTATTCTTAAATTTTTAAAGGCAATGGAGTCTTTATCTAGGTTCTTGCATGTTAAAAACATGTGGAAACAAAGTGCAACAATAAATGAATGGAAATCCAAAATCTCTGTAAAAATGTTCATTAAAATTAATTTTTGAAAAAGATCTCACTTGGTATGAGAGAGAAAAAAAAAACACAACAAATGTGGGAATCCCTGTTTCGTGTCAGGGAAGAAGGAATAAAGTAAATTGCTGAGCAGAATGCTGCATTCCAATTAGTCTTGATTATTTTTTTTTAATGGAGCCAAATTTCTGCCAGATCTGGAGGACAAGAAGACTTTAGCTCAGAGGATAGAGCACTTTCTATCTCAATGGAACCCAACAATGATATGGGGATGGGGATAATTGTGCATCCATTACCTCAGAGAGGAGATACTATGGAATGCATCATTGGATGACTTCTAAAGTTCCAACAATCCTCTAACGTGTGAAGTTGTGATTGATGGAGAACTCTTGCATTCCTGTTCAGTTTCCATTAACTACATGTCAGAAGGGGTAGGGACACATACCTGTCACTTACCTCTCATTATTGGTGTGTTGCCCTCACTCATAACATGAAATATCTCCATGGTAGAGAGTAGAACCTCAGACTGGAAATCTCGTTTCTGTTGGGTAGTGGCATTGTCTGGAGAAGCCTAGAAACACAGCACTAGGCTGAATAAGCAGCCACTCAGCCATCACACCACTCAGGGTCTGTGGTGGATGAAGCAATAGACCGCCATATCCCCTGCCTGTTGCTGCACCCCCAACCCTAACTGCCATGAACGTGGGTTCACTTATCATCTCACTGCTATCAAGTGGTTCTGATACATAGCAACCCTCTATCAGGTTTCAGAAAATGTAAATTATAGTGAGAAGAGACTTTCTCCAATGGAACCTCTAATGTATTCAAAGTTCCAGAGACACTCAGCTTTTGGGTGAGCAGTACAACTTGCCATGGATTATGTCATCCCAGTTTACTGCTTCCCCTTTTTGGAAGTTGTGCTTATTGAAATGCCTCATTCAGCTCATGACACTTACTTTCCAGGGAGAAAGGTCATAAAGGGAAGTCCTCAGCCAATGACCACCTAGAAGGTGCTTCAGCATGGGACCCTCCTGTGACACAGGTAGCACACCTATGCTTCCTGGGAACCAGGCTGCAGCCAGTCTCCAATTGGAAGCTCCTTGTTAGCTTCTCTCCCGACTCACACTTCTCGTCTCTTCTCTTGAAAGCACCTCCCTCCAATAAATAACTCCTACAAAATCTCTGCCCTGGGCTCTGGTGACTAGGACCCTTGCTAAGATCTGCCCTAACTCATTTACTTGCTAGATGCTTGATGAACTCCTAGTGTACTTCATGAGGACCCCTTACTACCACACTGCTTCAGGCTGAGCTAGCATCGAAGCTGGGACATGACCACTCAAGAAACCCAAATCTTGGATCTTCCTGTCTCCTCACTGACTTTAGGCACATGATCTCCCCTTCAACATATAGCCAGGTGAGCAGGGCCTCTTGTGACTCACCTCCAAGAGCACTTCCAGTGGCAGCCACTGCTTAGGGGAAGAGGTTGCCTTGAGGAGCTCCCTCAAGAGGAGCTGCATGAATGTCTTCAACTGTTTCCTGGCAGGATGCAACTTTGCAGGAGCCTGGAGACCCTCCTTCATGCTGTGACCTTCAGCTGCAATCCTAGGACCACTAGCATTCCAGGTAACCTCAGCCACGGTGCCCTCAAAGACAAGAGAACCCCAGCATGTGTGAACTGCCTTGCCTCAAGTCTTTGTGTGCACTGGTGGAATGGTCAACACTACATTTAACAGATAAGGAAGTAGGCTCTGAAGAGTAAGGTGACTTACCCAAGGATCATCATTTATAAAGTGAACCACTTTGTCTTTGAGCCTAAGTCAAGTGAGTGAGAAAAGTGAGGAAAGAGCTAAGCCACCAAACAGAAGTCCTGGAGAGCTTAGAATGGAGACTCAGAAGCACCCTGGGCCAGACTTTCTCTCCTATGTGCTACAATGCCCCATTGTGTAAATGGAGACAATAAGAATAATGTCACAAGGGGTTTGTAAGAATGGAATAAAAGAGTAACGCATATGGCCATGCCCAGAATCTGGAATATGGTGGGGGGCGGGGGAAACAGGTTCCTATCTTTTTCTTCTCGCCTTTCTTGTCTGTTCAGGTCTGGCTGATATGGATAAACAGGATTCTTAGGTGAGAAAGATGGACTATCTGGGAGGCCATGAGCTCTTCCATTAAAGCCCCTCAGTGTTTTAACTCTCACTTTCTCACCTTATATTTACAAAAATATTGGAAAACAAATGACAGAGAAATCTTTGTCCAAGCATACCGAGGAGGGTAAGGAGGTGCTGGGAGTACAAATGACACGTCCAAGGACACATGACCAGCGCTCCTGCTTCTGGCCCCAAGAACTTTTCATGCATGTTCATCTGCTGGTACCTCCCTTTGCTCATTCATAAAATTAATGCAGCCATTCTTAATTAAGCCATAAAATGTGTTTAATGGCACCTGGAGGTGGTGGTGACCGCATTAATTAGCTCTGAGAGGACTTGACTGGAAAAATGTCAGATAATTCAGAGGCAAATAAAGCCTTTTGGCCCACATTATGCATGAAAAGGGTCTGTCACATTTTCTGTGATATTTACTCTTGATATGCCTCCCCCTCTTATCTTTGCGGAATGCTTCTTTAGTTGATATTTATCTCTCAAATCCTCTTACCTCTTTGTAAATCTTCTAGCCTTTATAAATAACAACAACAACTCATTTCATTCCAGTGGGACCGACTTATAGCTGACCTGCCAGTAGGCTTTCTGAGGCTATAAAACTGCACAGAGAAGATTCCTCATCTCTTTTCTGAGGAGCAGGTGGTGGATTTAAACTGCCTGCCTTTGGGTTAGCAGCGCCACTCCTTACCCAGTAGGCCCTCACTTGCCATTTTAGTAATATTTTTGCTAAAACTGTCCTTATTTGGCCATTTTCTTTAATTTTAACTGTTACTGAAAGGATTTAGGTTTTAGTAAGCTTGATTGTCATTTACTAAGCACATACATGACACACTTCATTTTCACAAACTCTTATGAGGTAAGTATCATCTCTCCCATTTAACCTGAAGACGCTGGCCAGTGCTTTTGGTAGCATCTGAATTTCAGTTTCCTTTGACTGACACCAGCCCTGCAGGGTGGATGTTACTATTAATTACCATTCCTGCACGTCCAGTGAACAGAAGCTGTCCCACAAATATATATCTGAAAAGAGATTGACATAAGCATATTCACACACACATCAGGCCATTTAGTAAGTATGTATGGAGCTACCTGCCTCATCCTATCATTGGTATATATTATAAATAAACATTTACCATATTTGTATTCCTAGTATATTTCTTCAGCTATAGCCATCAACTTCACGCAGATATTGCTAGCTCATGCTCCCTTACTGGAACTCTGCTTCCTAATCTACCAATTTTGGGGGGAAGAGTACATTTCTGTCCTTTCTGTTACACTAAAATTTTCAAGATTTTGTGCACATTAATTTCTGGCATGAACTCCCTAATGAGAACCATTTTAAGATGCACCAGCTTGTCCGCCTTGGTACCCACCATGGTCCACACAGCTGTTAGTGTCAGAATTGGTCACCCAGGTTTGTTCCTTGCTCTCCTCCCAACTCCAAGGGACAGTTTAGTCTCATCCAGCCAAGTGATCTAGCCCGACTCACCTTTACCATGTGACCTGCTAGAGGAAGTGCTCACCTCACAATAACACTTTCTTCTCTTCCCATAACCCAACACTAATACCTGCACCCAAGAGACGACTCAAGTCAATCTCTGCCTTCCCCTACTTCAGTAAACCCCAGACTGAAAGCCAAGACCTACAGGTCAGGAAAACAAAAGGAAAACCAGTATTCCGGTATTGTCTCCAACCACATCTCATTCATTAGTTCCCTGGCATAAAATTTGTTATTTACATCAGTGAATGAGTATTTGATGTAGAATTGTACTTGTTCTACAATAAATTTCTCACTACTGAGATTCCTAACAACTCAAATTCCAATGCTAAAAAGTTACTTTGAACTACAATGAAACCAAAAAAAATGTAAGTTATACAAATTGTTTACCTTATGTGCCAGTCAAGTTGCCTTAAAACATTTTGCTTTGAGACTGGTAGAGGAATTCTGCTTTGGCTCTTAGAGAATGAGGACACATGCCCATCTCTTACTGGGACAATTAGGTGACAGGTCTTACCATTTGGATTCCCAGAGGGAAGGTAACTGTGGCCAAAGTCTGGAGAAACTCTGGGGAATGCCACATGGGATCCTGGGGGTAAGTATGGTGGACAAGACCCAGGAACTGCAGCACACAGGCAGGAAAGGTCCGCTCCCAGGTACAGTCTTCAGAATCTGCCAAGGGCTAAGGACACACTTCATGAGAGACCATGTGGGATCTACTATGTCCTAAATGGTCAGTTGACATTTGGAAACTGACCATCAAGATTATTCACTGCAGAATAATACCAACACTAAAGCTGAGTGGCACGCTCCTTACGTAAAGCACATTCACTCTACATAATATAGACATCTGGACCTCCTTTGGGAAATTAGTTAGCTCTGGGCCCTCAAAGTTGTGACTTCTTCCTTTACCCACAAAACTGCTGTTTAAATGGCCCTGATCAGAAGACCTGAATTGGAGTTTCTGGCAGATCTCTACAACTGCCTCCCACTGGGAAATCAAACCCACTCTTGTGTAGAAAAGCAAAAACAGGAAACAATTAGAGAACAGTCTACAAACATGTTTGTGGGATGCCAGGGAAGTCTTCCAAACCATAGCAGACAGGCAAAGAGAAATCATTCCTGAAGCTATTTGTAGCTGAGTCCTAATGTTAATTTTGTAACAGCCTTGCAATAAGCTATTAGATACACAGAGAAGTATTAGAGTTAGCAGAGCTGTTTGCAGAGTTAGTCTGCCTGCTCTGCCTCTGTCACTTAATAATAGTGCACCGTTGGATGTGCATGAGAGATAGTCTCTTTTCCTAGAGACCTTGTTTCCAAAGGAAAAAAACCTGACTTGATCCTGCATTATCCTCATCATCTCTGTGTTGCTTAAATTTACTGTTGCTGTTCCCTAGTGGATTTACAAAAAGTGAACTTAAACATATAAAGAGAAAGAATTTACTGTTAGTTAGATCCAATATTACATATGACAATATCCTTAAGTGTATCAGCAGAATTAACATAATTCCAATCAAAACCCTTAAATAACTTATAATTGAAAAATAATTTTGGGAACAAAGAACAATAAAAGAAAATTATCCTTAATAGGCAAAGTTGTGTTTGGTTGTGCTGTCTCACAGATGACGCTGAAGAGCTAACAATACCCACACCACACCATGTCGCATCTGCTTCCTTCTGGCCCCCTGCTACTATGGAGCACCTTATCAGCGTTCAGGGCCCAACTACATTTTGGTAAACTCTGACCAGGTGGCTGCTAGTAATATTGTCCAGATGAAGGATGATCATGACAAGAAGTTTAAAATGAGTGTGTGTGTGTGGGGGGGGGGAATCTTACTTCTGTGTGTTGGACAAGCTAGTGACACTACAGTTTACAGAATATATTAAGAAAAAATTACAGCTTTACAAGATGTGAAATGGTTATGAATTATCTCCCATAGCAGCAGCTAATTTCATTCGCCAAAACCTGGCTGACTGCCTTCTGAGTTGGACTCCGTATATCAGCCTCCTCCTAACTGGTTATGATAAGGATGAGGGTCCAGAGCTCTACAATATGAGCGACTTGGCAGTCTTGGCAAAGGCTCCTTTTGCAGCCCATGGCTTTAGTGCCTTCCTGACTCTCAATATCCTAAAATAATACTATACACCAACTATCTCACATGATAAGACCATGGAGCTGCTTAGAAAATGTCTATCAGATTTCCAGAAACACTTCATCTTGAATCTTCCAACATGCAGCTTTCAAATTATTGACAAAAATGGCATCCATATTATCCTAATCTTTAGAGGGGAATCCTAACACTGCACCCTATAATTCTACTTGCCATGGAACTTTTAAAATGTCCTCCCTTATTGTTTCCTATTCTTTTCACATGCACTCTTGATATAATAGATGATTCGTTTAGAATAAAGCTGAATCTGGAGAACAACGACTTGGCCAACTGACTGGAAGAGGTTTATATTTGTTCCCATGCCAAAGAAGGGCGACCCAACTGAGTGTGGAAACTACAGAACAATATCATTGATTTCACATGCAAGCAAGATTCTACTGAAGATTATCCAAAAACGACTGGAAGAGTACATCAGCAGAGAACTGCCAGAAGTCCAGGATGGGTTTAGAAGGGATCATGGTACTAGGGATATTGTAGCTAATGTTAGATGGATCTTAGCTGAAAGCAGAGAATTCCAGAAGAATATCTACCTGTGTTTCATTGATTATGCAAAGGCATTTGACTGTGTGGATCATAACAAACTGTGGCTGACTCTGAGAAGAATGGGAATCCCAGAACATTTAATCGTGCTAATGCGAAACCTATACTTGGACCAAGAGGCAGTCATCAGAACAGAGCAGGGCAACACTGCATGGTTCAAAATTGGGAAGGGTGTACGCCAGGGATGTGTCCTATCTCCATACCTTTTCAACCTGTATGCAGAGCAGATTATCCGAGAGGCTGGGCTCTATGAGGAGTAGTGTGGCATTAGGATTGGTGGACGATCTATCAACAATCTGTGTTATGCAGATGACACAACCCTGCTTGCTGAAACTGAGGAGGACCTCATGCACTTACTGCAGAGGGTCAAGGACTGCAGCCTTCAATATGGACTGAGGCTCAGTGTCAAGAAGACAAAATTTCTCACCAATCGGTGACCAATCGGTAGCATCAGGATGGATGGCGAAGAGATTGAGATTGTTCACAGCTTCAGTTTGCTTGGCTCCACGGTCAACACTTTTGGCACCAGTATCCAGGAAATCAAAAAACGTATTGTGATGGGAAAGTCTGTGGTTAGGGACCTCTCTAAAGTACTCAAGAGCAACGGTGTCTCTCTGGAGACTAAGGTGCACCTGATACAGGCCCTGGTTTTTGCAATCACTTGTTATGCATCAGAGAGTTGGACAATGACTAGGGAGGATAGAAGGAGAATTGACGCCTTTGAGCTGTGGTGCCGGAGAAGAGTATTGAATGTACCATGGACTGCCAAGAAAACAAATAGATTCAACCTAGAGAGGGTTAAACCGGGCTGCTCCTTGGAGGCAAGGATTCTGGGGCTTCGTCTGACATACTTTGGACATGTTGTAATGAGAGACAGGTCTTTAGAGAGGGACATCATGCTGGATAGAGTAGAGGGACAGCGCAGGAGGGGAAGACCCTCTATGAGGTGGATTGATTCAGTGACTAGGATAATCGGGATGGGTGTGTCAGAGGCAATGAGATTGGCACAGGACAGAGCACGGTTTAGGGCTGTTGTACATAGGGTCGCTATGAGTCACAAATGACTCGACAACACATAACAACAACAACAACATGGATAAATTTGAGGGGAAAAACAAACAGTGAAGATACAATAGCTAAAGGTTGATTCACCAACTATAAGAGAGATTTTTTAAAATCATCTACCTACAGTCAACTGGGATTTGGCAACCAAACAAAACCTATCAAATGGAAACAACAACTTCTTTAACAAATGGTACTGGTAAAACTTGATTTGTACCTGGAGAAAGCTGAAGTACGATCCACATCTCACACCATACACAAACATCAACTCAAGGTGTATCAGAGACCTCTGGGTAAAGGCCCAAACCATAAAGATCATAGGAAACAAAATGGAACCAAACTTAGTAGCCCTAACCTATGGTATAAATAGGCTGACAAATACAGTCAGAAGTACACAAACAGAAGAGATAAAACTGATGAATGGGATCATCGAAAGATTAAATTCCTGTATATATCAAAAACTTTTTCCAATAAGGTGAAATGTAAACCTACTGATTGAGAATAAAACATTTAGCAATGCCATCTCAGACAAGAATTTCATAATGAGAGTTTACAGAATTCTCCAGGACCTACACACACACACACACAATAAAAAGGATTGATAATACAATCATAAAGTGGGAAAGACATATGGAAAGATTTTTCATAAAAGAAGACATTTACGTGGCCAATAGACACAAGAAGAAATGCTCAAAATCACTGGCAATAAGAGAGAAACAAATCAAAACGACAATGAGGAATAGAATTCAATACAGAGCAGAGAGCTACAAGCAGGAAAAACATAAACAAAATTGTACTGAAGATGATCCAAAAATGACTGAAACAGTACAGGCTGGATTTAGAAGAGGCACGAGGGACATCATTGCCAATGTCAGATGGCTATTGGCTGAAAGCCGAGAAGACCAGAAGAATGTCTTTCTGTGTTTCATTGACTCCGCAAAGGCATTTAACTGTGTGGATCACAACAAATTGTGGCTAACCATGAGAAGAGTAGATATCCCAGAATACCAGATTGTACTCATGTAAAACCTATATTTGGACTAGACATCAGAACAGAGCAAGGAAACACTGCATGGTTCAAAATCAGGAAAAGAGTGTATCAGAATGCATCTATCTCCATATCTTTTTCAATCTGTATGTAGAACAGTCTATTCAGGAGACTGGGCTTTATGAGCAGGGATGTGGCATCAGAATTGGAGGAAGACTCATCAATAACTTGCATTATGCAAATAGCAACAACCTTGGTCACTGAAACTAAGTAGGACCTGAAACATCTACTGCAGAGAGTCAAGGACCGTAGTCTCATTATGGATTGAAGCGCAATGTCAAGAAAACAAAAATTCTCACTACTGGGCCAATTGGAAGCACCATGATAGATGCGGAAGAGATTGAGGTTAACAATTTCAGCTTGCTCAGGTCCACAATCAAGACTTTTGGAACCAGCCATCAGGATATGAAAAGACAAATCAGATTAGGAAAATCTGCTGTCAGGGGCCTCTCCAGAGTGCTGAAGTGCAAAGATGTCAGTCAAGAGACCAAGATGTGCCTGACCCAAGTCATGGTCTTCACAATTACTTGCTATGCATAAGAGAGTTGGGCAATGAATAAGAATTACAGAAGAATTCATGTCTTTGAGTTATGGTGCTGGATAAATGTATATACCACGGAAGAACATACCATAGATAGCCAAGAGAACAAATAGATCTGTCCTGGAGAGGGTGAAAACAAGTTGCTCTCTGCAGGCATAAATTTTGAAGCTCCACCGCATATACTTTGGGCACATGGCCAGGAGGGACAAGTCCATGGAGAAGGACAACATGATTGGAAGGGTAGAGGGACAGTGCAAGAGAGGAAGATAGCAGATGCGATGGATTGATACATTAACTGGAATAATAGTGATAGGTGTGTC